CTTCTTCCTGATTATTCTTTGTGGCATTGATTTCTTTTTGATTTCTAATTTTATTCCTTTATTTTTGTCTCTCTCCTTCCATTAGACTATAAGTTTCATGAAACCAGGAATCCTTCCTGGCTTATTCACCAATTTTAGTGGCTAAAGTTGTTTACACAGTAAAAATACTGAAAGAGTGAAAGGGTGAATGGATAATGGACTAATAAGTGGGGTGATAGTGATGGTTTAACTGGGAGGGAGAACTGAGAGGGCAAGTAGAGATTTCAATTCTCCCTTTCTACAGCGGTGAGTTTCTACAGTGGTGAGGACATAAAAAGTTTTACTCTCTTATTTAGTATTTTAGATTTTGAAAAAAGTGAGAATACAAACTTCACTAAAGTTAAGGATTTTCTCTTCTGCTGATGAATCGAAACTATCATTTGGGATCTTAATTGAATTCATAATAGTAACTGCCATCATGGTAGCACTCTAGCACTGTCCTCCCATTGTTCATCGATTCACTCAAGCGAGCCCAGTAACGTCTCCATTGTGAGATTTGTTGTTACTGTGTTTAGCACATCGAATACATCATGGGTAGCTTGCCAGGCTTTGCCATGTGGGTGAGATACTCTGGGTAGCTTGCCAGGCTCTTCAAGAGAGGCTGAGAAATTGAACCCGGGTCGGCCACAGTTGGCAGCATGCAAGGCAAATGCTCTACCCACTGTGCTATAGCTCCAGCCCATTGCCATCATTAATAGCAAATACTAATAATAAATTACATCAAGTATTTAGACAGGTCTTGGCACATAAAAATGTTCATGATTATTGGTCACAATTTCACTTAATTCTCACAGTACTCTTCCAGGTGGATTCTATGATAAATCAATTTTTTATATCAGGATGTTGGGGTTTAGATTATCCAACTTGCTTTGTACATTGGCACCAGCATGCACCACTGATGGTTCACACTTACTGTGGTTTAATTAAAACCAATCACAGTGTCAGTGAGTTAAAGTTACAGAGTAACATGAAGATCTTAGGCTGAGTCCAGTTTGAAATTACTTTAGTACAAGTGGCATCTAATTATCCTAGTACTTAATACTGAAAACAAGGTAGTTTCAGGCTTGATTTTCTCACTTAGACTATGGAACTAAGAAAGTACATAAATTTATGAGGTGCTATTGTGAAGAATAAATGAGTCAATATATGGAAAGTAACTAAACTAGAATAAAGCACATAGAAGAAATTTGGTAAATATTAGTTATAGTTTTAATAATAATGTATGCTAGTAATTAAGTAATTAAGAACTATGTTTACAGTAAGAAGGCTTGCTCTGCCTGAAATTCTAATTTTGCTAGTAATTAAGTAATACTGAGCAAATAGCAAGAACAAAATAAGTTATAATTTAATTATTAACTTGAGGCTAATAACCTCTTCAAAGTTATATTTTGTTGCTTTTACTCTTCTTACTTCCATAAAGCAAAGAATACCAAAATAATTTAGGATTTGAGGGGCCAAAGACTGGCTGGCTGTTTCAGCCAGTACCTTCCCTTCACACATTATTATCAAATGTTGACTCTGACGAGGCAGCTAAAGAATGAATGAAATGTGTGGAACTGGCCCCTTGTGTCATGTAACAACCTCTTGACCGCCTCAGTGAGGTAACTTAACAGCTGTCAGGAACCACTTTGTTGAACTTGTACATGACTCAAAATTGCTCTCCATCTCTTGGGACATGACGATAAATCTTTTGGAGTTTTGGTTTCAATGACTAGGAAACACTTGATCTTGATCCACATCACATCCATCGTCAGGAAGAAGAGAGGCTACACTTCATCCTATGATTCATCTGCTTTCCTAGAGGATTCCCTTTTCCTCATGGCTCAATGTAAATGGATGTTAGGACAGATGAAGGAAGGGACTTTTATATATTGCTCACATCCTTGCATCATATTATGGAAATGAACTATGTTTACAGTAAGAAGGCTTGCTCTGCCTGAAATTCTAAGAAATATGGGTAAATCCTAGAATTTAAAAGCAAGAGGTCTGTTCTGCTTTATATATTACCATTTATTCAATGCTCAGCAAGCTCAGAGCAAAGACAAAAGGCTGCAAACATATTTTTACAGCATCAGTTTGTATACCAGTTTGTATATCAGTTTTACATCTCCACATTAAAGATATATTCAAGAACCAAGCCTTTCAAGGGAAGTTAAAGAATCAGCACAATAATAAAAAGAACACATTATTGCACTAAATTTCCTTCTCAGACTTTAAAAGCACAATTTTGCAATGATTTTAAAAAGTCAGGTCTATTAAATATGGCTCTTAAAATCATGACGAACATTTCCTTGATCTGGGAGCTTCAGTCCTCAGTTAGCCTGAAGGTTGAGGAAGAATTTGCTATAGGCACATCATCATGCTTAGGGCTGTCATGGCAGAAAGATACACATGTCAAGAATAGATTCTTACCTCAGTGAGGTGGACGTGTGGTCCAAGGAAAGGAAAGAGAGAAAAGGTGGTGGAATTTCAGTGAAAGCCACCACAGGAAGAGACTAAGAAGGATAGAGGAAGAAAGGAGGGAGGAATGAAGCATGCAGAGATGAAAAATTTGTAATCCAGAATTCCTTGGGAAACAGAACACTGATGTGACTTGATATAATCATTGTTGTATTTTTCCTAGTTGTACAGTTTTATTAAGACCATACCTTGAGTTTGAAACAAATGTATGTAAAAAAAATCTTTTTGACTAAGAGATAGAGAATACTGGAAGCATCCAGAATGAACAAGGAGGCCCAACTTCCTTTATGCAGTAGTCACTCAGGCTCTCGGGAGCTACACTAGATTTCAGAACCAATGTTCATAAACACATAAGAAATATGGTGGAGATAACAATTTAAAAGGAAATGTGGTGGAGACATGTTGCTTAGATGAATCAAACAACAAAGCCCAAATGTTCATGCATGAAATACGTCTATACCAACATAAGCTGTCACTGATCCTCTCTTTCAATATATAGGAAAGTTAATTCACCTCAATAAATCTTAATTTCCTTCTCCTATACCAAGGAAATAAATGTTATTGTAGGGTTGTTGGGATTATATTTAATAGATAGGAAACACTTATCACGGCTCTTGGCAGAAAAAAGAGAATCAATAACTAATAGCTTTCACTAGTAAAAGGAACATGACAACATTCAAAACTCAAGATTTAATTTAACTGGATCAAAATTTTGTAAAACTGGAGTCTAAGATACATATTTCTGAAGGCACTTACAACTTTAGTATATCTTTTGTGATTTCATTTCATTTTTATCTGTATTATCTGAAACTGGTCTGTTTTTTTTCCTGGTGCATGAATCAGGTAACTCAGGTCTAGGAATATTGTTGTTGGACACCAGAATATTAGAGTAGTGTTTCTCCCAAATGTTCCTGGTTTGCTGGGTGCATCTTAGTACTTTCTGCTTCAGTTTCAGTATTGTTCATTTTCTTCCCCAGTTTGTCTCTCTTTTTTTCCCCCCTCTAAATTAAGGACTAAGAAATATGAGGGACAACTAAACAAATATTTTTCGGATTTATAGGCTATATGCATAGTCTCAGTCACAACTATTCTGCTAACTATCCCCAGAATAACCCTTAGACAATAGATGACAGTTTGCTCCAGTGTTGGTAATATACTGGTAGTTTGGTGATGGGTGTGATGGAGCAACAGATATTTTAAAAAGTGTAATAATGTACTCCTAAAATATATACAGTTTGATAAGAGCCAGGTATGTGACTTACTTTAGTGTGGCATAGAATTTCTGTTCAGTCTTGGTCAATGGAATTGAACCATTGTACAGAATTAGGGTTCCTGAGCACTGCCATACCTGACCCCTATACTAATATCTTAACACAATAATGTAGGGCTGGAATAACAGTACATCAGGTGGGGTTCTTTCCTTGTATGGGGCTAACCCAGTTCCATCCTTGGGATGACATATAGTCCCCAGAGCCCATCAGGAGTGATCCTGAGTGCAGAGCCAAGAGTAAGCCTTGAACACCAAAGGGTTTTGTCTAAAAACAAACCATAAACCCTAACACTAAGAGCAACACTAACATTACAGCAATAATAATATAATAGCAGAATGTAAAAAGGTATAAGTTAACAATTGGCTTAACTGAATAATACAAAGACAACAATAAAAAAACAAAAACCAATTGTCCAGCATCATCTTAGTAAAACACAAAATTAAAAAAACATTTTTTCAGGGCTGAAGCTATAGCACAATGGGTAGGGTGTTTGCCTTGCAGGAGGCTGACCCAGGTTCGATTCCCAGCATCCCATATGGTCCCCCGAGCACTGCCAGAAGTAGTTCCTGAGTGCAGAGGCAGGAGTAATATCTCTAGGTAAAGGCCCTCCCGTTGATCATCGATTTGCTCGAGCGGGCCCAGTAACGTCTCCATTGGAGACTTTGTTGTTACTGTGTTTGGCATATCGAATACGTCACGGGGAGCTTGCCAGGCCCTGCCGTGCGGGCGAGATACTCTCGGTAGCTTGCCGGGCTCTCCGAGAGGGGCAGAGGAATCGAACTCGGGTCGGCCATGTTGGCTGCGTGCAAGGCAAATGCCCTACCGCTGTGCTATCGCTCCAGCCCATATCTCTAGGTGTGACCCAAAAAGTAAAATTAAATAATAAATAAATACAAATAATAAAACTTTGTGTCTAGGAATGAATTTCATGTAATTTCACATGTTTTAGAATATCTTCTGATGTTTACCAGCAAAACAAAAATGTATAAACCTTTCTTAATTTACAAGCTACAAGAAAGAGATGGAAGAAAGGGCTTAAACTAAAGATTATAGCTTATCAACACCTTTTCTAGAAGTTTCTCAAAAAAACCATTTTTACTACTTTCTCAAATTCTCTACTCTGTTCCACACCCATCCACTCTCTCCCCATAAGAGGACGTTAGTATCTTTAAGGACTCTAAGACCTTCTGACACCCCTCACCAGAATGAAGTAAGCACAAGCCCACTTACCACATGATCATGATCACTAACTTCATTACAATTTCATTCAAAATGTTGAAGAATTCCACCATCAGCTTTGCTTGCTCTCCCATCTTCCCCATCGCAATGCCAAAAGCAATGAAAAACCCTATCAGACCTGTTGGTTGGATCACATTTCACAGAAGAACAGATTAGAAAGTGCAGGTTTCATTACCAGTCTCAATGTCTGGAGCAAGGTTCTCAATGCCCTATGACTTTGGCATTAAAAGACAAAAGCATCACATTTTATACAGAAAGTAACTTTCCCCAAGGTGATTATGGTTTTCCTTAACATTTTCTGCATGAGTAACACTAGTAGTAGACATTCCTTGAAGCAAATGAATTTATATTCATTCTGAAATGAAAAGCACTTTCTTCTCTATCCAACTCATTTATGAAGTCATATGTAAACACGTTTCTTCAGCATATAAATTATGTTGGGACTTGGAGATTATCAGGAAGATTTTGGAGCTGATATTGAAATAGTGGATACCAGAAAACCGAACAAAGTCTCTGCCAGGGTTGTATCTTTACTTTGGTTTGGTGTTATTCATATTTCATGTAATTTCACATGTTTTAGAATATCTTCTGATGTTTACCAGCAAAACGAAAATGTATAAACTTTCTTAATTTACAAGCTACAAGAAAGAGATGGAAGAAAGGGCTTAAACTAAAGATTATAGCTTATCAACACCTTTTCTAGAAGTTTCTCAAAAAAACCATTTTATATATGTATATGTATATATATGTATATATTTACTCTAGCAAAGTCCTTAACACAAAATTATTTTTCTTGTGTAGCATGCCTAATCTGAGAAGGAGGAAGAATGTGGAAAAATCAAATGGAAAGTGAAGAAATTCCAAAGCATTGGGAAACTCCAATTGACTCAGTTTTTAAAAATTAACATAAATTCCTGAATAAATGTATTAATTCATCATCATTCTTTTCTAGAGCAAAATGATTATAATGCTTTCATTTTATTTTATGTTGGGGGAATTACAAAGACACAATGTAGCTTTTGGTACTCCTAAGTCTCTCGATTCTTTTCTTTCTTCACTTCAAGTCACTTCCAAAAATGTCCACCTTTTCCCTTCACTTGATGTCTCCTAACTTCCTTTCACATCCAGACCATCTCAGTCTGCAGAACCCATCCTGACTCCAAGCAGGAAGGATTTGAATCCTCTATTCCACCTCTTTAGGCCAACTTGAAATTGCACTGGTCAACTTGAAATTGCACTGGTCAACCCAATTCCTAGTGAACCCTCATGTTCAATCATGGGCCTTGTTTCTATAGAGTTCTGCTATTGTTTTGTTCTTGTTCATTTAGCTTTTTAATTTAATAGGAACAACACTTAGCAGTACTCAGGGGTAGATCATGTAGTTCTGGGGACTGAATTCAGCACTAGGAATGTTCTCTCTCCCCGACGCTCAGTATCAGTGTTTTGCTTCATTGTCTACACTTAAGTAAGTATCTGTCTCAGGAACATAGGCTAACCTTCAGTACCTCCAGAACTAAGTCTGACTTTTCTCTCCCCCATAATTCTCTCCCTGACCCACTTTTACACCTTTCTCTGTCAGGGTTCAACCCCTGGTTTGAAGTCTCCTCACTGGTTGACCCTGGGTCTGTAGCTAACTTAGTCCTATTACTTGTAAGCTGGACTCTATCTGATTTTTTAAATTATCAGTTACAGGTGCCCTCCCATTTCTATCTCATTACTGGACATTTTAGGGCTCCAATTCTGGCTACTAAAATGAACCATAAATCAATGTGACTGTCTGTGGGCAACAAGAACTTACTCGGCCAACCTACAGCATGAGCCAACCTATCTTCCCTCTATCTTTTCTCTCGTTCCCCACATTACATTGCGCTACCTTACTGAGTCTAATTTCCAGTCACTCTCTGTTACTTACTTATATAGTAAGTTACTACTATATAAGTAAGTAACAGAGAGGGTCTCATAGAATCCTATTCAATCTAGTTTTGGCTAGAGTTTTAATCTGTATCAAATAAATTATAACATTATAATCTGATACTCTTAGAGGGGAATTTTCTGTGAACCTCTGCTTTTAACATTTCCTTGGTCACCAAACCACTCACATCCCCATACCAAGTAAAACTTAATTCAGATTATTTAACTATCCTTTATCTTTCAGCAAAAAGAATGCTACATTTCCATTTAGATTCATTGATGCTAGGTATTCACTACTTCCTCCTTTTGGATCTTGGCAAAAAAGACTAACAAGTGGACTTAAAGTGAACTCCTGGTCCATAAACACAAAGAATTGATACAGATTAGCTCTAAGAGAAAGAGTGGTTGAAATCAAATCCATACTGATCCTATGTCTTTTTCTCAAGCCCATGGAGAAAATTTTGCCATGTGCATGATGAAAACTTTAAAACGTAAACATTTTAACACATACTTATTAGCATTACTTGGTTAATAGTCCATTTAGAAATTTAAGAGCATACACATGATTACACATGAATACACATGAATACAGTATCCCGAGGAGTGAGACATAAAAATTCCATTTGCAGGGTCAGCAGAAACTGCCATACATAAGAGAGAGATGATTAAACAAGTAATATCTCACAGAAGTGGATTTTAAACAGCTTGGGGAACAGGGTGGAGCCCAGAAATTGGTCTGGAGGTTTCTTTAGAGAAATGAGTCCTTAAAGAAGGCCATATTCAGGACTATATCTCCACTTATGACAGTATTTGGTCCTTGGGACTTTCCAAAGCTCAAAAAAAAAACCCAAAATGTATTTCAGTATAATTTATAAATGGGAAATTTCTCAAAAGTCTAATTTCCCTTGGTTTGTCAACACCTTGATTTGCACTTGGAAATTCAAACCCAGCTCATAATATTTCTCTGTACACATTATCTTTTGAACTCACTAATACTGGGCACTACAGTGGAACAAAGGTATTTCAGACTTGGTCACTGGGGTTGAGCAAGCAGTGGAGCAGTGATTATGTTGAAACTCCCTAGTACAGTCAAAGGTCACATGACTACCCAGAATCCATTGAAACTCTGGAAATGACCATAGAAGTCCTCTGAATGATTCATCCCAAGATTTGACCCCATTACTCAACCTCCTCTAAAATGTGTAGAAGACTGTGAGGTCACTTGCATCACAAAGGTTGGGACTTTCAGTTAAGACTCGCCAAAAAGGAACCAAGGGAGAACTGGAAAGATCCTAGAAGGATCACAGATATCTAGGTGTGGGCGTATGAGTTGGTTAGTTCCAGTGGAGGAAATGCTGAAGTTGTTGCAAATCCTCCTGAAAGCAGCTCTCCCACTTCTTCTCTTTCCTCCTACTGATTGCCAACGATATTTATTGATCTTTCGTTGTCTGGCAACAGAGTCAGCTTATGTCCTCCCTCACTTTCACTTACTCAACCTACTTCCTGCTAGGTCAAACACAGGATTCTTTCCAGTGGCTAGGCAACTCTGTACCCTCTACTTTTTTACCACCATTCTGGGAGAATAAGGATTAAGGATAAGGACTGAGGAATAAGGATTTGGAAAAAAGAATAGGGCACTCTGTTTAAAACTGAATTTTAGCCCAACAACAAATAGTATTTTTAGTGAAAGTGCACCTCATGCAATATTGGAAACATACACCAAAAATTATTCATGGTTTATTAGAGCTTTACTTTTAGCAGGGAATCTTATCTTTTATCTAACAAGCCTACAAAGTACGAAAGAATATCTGATCTTCTGAATAGCAAAGTGAAAGGACTCCAGACTTCATTTATTTTAAACAACTTTGTTCGAAGCATCCAAAATCTGGTGTGCTTAGATCAAAATACTTCCTCCACCCAGACTGCCCCTTTCTCCAAGATGATAGCCAAATGTCTTCTTTCTTGTCTCAGGATGAGCACTGTAATGGCAGGGTAACAATAATGGAGTGGGGGAGTGGACCTGGGGTTATTTGGGCATATCAGGAGTCACCTATCCATAGGATGATGGGAAAATCTCTGTTCTCTGGGGAGTGGTTTCTTATTGGGTCCCTCAGCCTCACCCACTTTCTAAGCAATGCAGAACTCATGGGTGGAGCCTGTGCTGTGGTATTGCACATGCTTGTTGCCCTTGACTCTTCCTCATGGTCTATAAGAGAAAAGTCATACCTACCCCCCCCCACTCCTTTCCCCCCCGAATAACAACGTTCAGAGCATTAGTACCATTTGCCCAAGGTCAGATACCTTAGTGAGCTATCCAAACCCAGTGTGTCCATCTAGGGTGAGAGCACCCTGGATGAGCTCCTCACAATCTCAGTAAATGAAACAAGATCATGTTCTTCTGATGAGCTTCCCTGGGCAGCAGCGCCAACATTTCACACTCCTGATAGCACCATATTTTGTTTAGAGGCTATGAGAGCCAAGACAGTACCTCCTCTTCCTCTATACCCCTAGCATAGCACTGGGTCACAAGGGCAGTTTCAAAATCACACTTCAGCTATAAGAATGCTGGAGGTGTGACTGAATAAAGTCAGAGAAAGTAACTTGCCAACACCAGGTAGAGACTATGCCCTGTGAATAGGGTGCCCTCTCTGTTTTCTTTTGTGTGATTTTTCAGATCAGACCTCCAGCTTCCATGTTTCCTCATGGTCTTTTACTTTTCTGCCCATCTCCTCCCTTCATCTTTTAACAGTCAGACCCAGTGAGACTCAAAACACTCCCCAGGAGAGCTTCCTGCTCTACAACAGGTCAAGTGAATCATTGTTTTTTCTGAGGAAAGGTGAGGACAGCTGAGGTCCATTTGCATGAAAGGCTGGTCATGGTTGCCAGAGAAGAGATGCCTTCCCCAGAGAGCTGAAGACCCGGCTGCCTACCTAAGACGTTCATGCCATCCTTGAATTCCAGGCCCTTCTTGAGGACCACTTTTGTTTCCTCAGGTGCCACTGTCACAGACTCGTTCAGCAGGGAAACCACAGCATGGGTCACATTGCCATCCTCATCTGTTGGTGGTGCCACCGTGATCCTCTTTGTCACAGTTTGAATCTAATAAAATGAAAGAAAACACATCAATGTGAAGTGCGGCTTATTGCACCCCTACCCCTGCCAAAGACTCTCATTTTAGGAATTGGCAGCTCCCCTATTTTTTTAAGTTTTTTAGTTTCCAAGTATGTTAAAAAACAACTAAGTGGGCTCCCTCTCCACAATAGAAAGGTACCTCTCTCTCTTTCTCTCTCTCTCTCTCTCTCACACACACACACACACACACACACACACACACACACACACTCACTCAGAACTTTCACCTTACTCAGAACTTTCAAACAAAATTATTTTTACTTAAAAAAAGCAACTAAGGAAATCCGAATGACTAAAAGGCACATGAGAAAATGCTCCACATCATTAATCATCAGGGAGATGCAGATCAGAACCACAATGAGATACCATTTCACACCACAGAGACTGGCCCATATCCACAAGAACAAAAGCAACCAGTGCTGGTGCAGATGTGGCGAGAAAGGGACACTCTTTCACTGCTGGTGGGAATGCCGACTGGTTCAGCCCTTTTGGAAAACAGTATGGATGATTCTCAAAAAATTAGAAATTGAGCTCCCATTTGACCCAGCAATACCACTCCTGGGAATATATCCCAGAGAGGCAAAAAAGTATAGTCGAAATGACATCTGCAATTGTTTGTTCATTGCAGCACTCTTTACAATAGCCAGAATCTGGAAAAAAACCTGAGTACCCGAGAACAGATGACTGGTTAAAGAAACTTTGGTACATTTACACAATGGAGTATGTAGCTGTTAGAAAAGATGAAGTCATGAAATTTACATACAAGTGGTACTACATGGAAAGTATCATGTTAAGCGAAATGACTCAGAAAGAAAGGGATAGCCATAGAAAGATTGCATTCATCTGGGGAACATAAAGTAACAAAATAGGAGACCAACACCCAAGAATGGCCGAGATTAGTACCAGGAATTTTACTCCATGGCTTGGAGGCCAACCATACATGCTAGGGGAAAAGGGAGCTCAGATAGAGAAGGGAACACCAAATAAAGGGTGTTGGGAGGATCCTCCCAGGATGGGAGAAGCATGCTGAAAGTAGACTATAGACCAAACATGATTGTCACCCATTGCCTCTTTTGCAAACCACAACACCCAAAAAGAGAGAGAGAACAAAAGGGAATGCCCTGCCACAGAGGCAGGGTGGGATGGGGGGGATGGGGAGTGGGAGGGATACTGGGATCTGTGGTGGTCGGAAATGGGCACTGGTGGAGGGATGGGTATTTGATCATTGTATAATTGAAACCCAAGCACAAAAATTTGTAAGTCTACAACTATACCTCATGATGGCTCACTAATAAAAACTTTTAAAAAAAGCAACTAAGTAGGAATGGAGAGAAAGTACAACGACTAAGATCCTTGCTTTGCTTTGCATGTAGCCAACCCAAGTTTTGTCCCTGGCATTGCATGTAATACCCAGAGCCTGGCCAGAAGTGATGCCTAAGCACAGTTAGGAGTAAGCCTTGAGTAGAGTTGGGGCTCCAAAGCATAATAATAATAATAATAACAACAACAACAACATGTAATGAATGCAAGGTTATAAAGATATGAAGAAATAAAATGGAGAACAATTGATAAATTTGTGTGGGCAAAGAGATATTTTATCACACAAACACAGTGGAAGTCATCATCACCATGACTCAGGATCATGTTCACTGACACAGATTCATAAGCAGTGTGACCCGGTGATGGGTCTGGGACTGGATGTCAGTCTCTTTCTTTTCTATGATTGTAGCTCTGCATGGTAGTGACAATATCAAATGCCTTATGTGGATATCTTGCTAATTGTGAGACTCCAGAGGAACCTGTGTGTCCCCTGTTCTTGGATCTGATCACAAGTAATAGGGTGAAGGTCTTGGCAGGGGTGTGTTAGTACCGTCTTCTTGGTTGCCTATTGGACAGACCTTTCATAGACCAATTCATCTGGGCTACTTTCCAAGGCAGAATCAACCAGGAAAGGGAATCTCTAGACACCAGATGTGCCAGCTTCCAGAAGCCACCATGGCAAGGATTTGAGTCACATTTCAGATCCAAATGTAAGGTGAGAGACACCCACTCCTTCTAGGCAAAGATGCCAAGCCCTGTTCCGTGTTCTCTAAGCATCTGTGTACAAAGGACCTCTAAGAACCTTTCACACTATTCCTTGACATCTCAGACAGCTGTCCTATTTTTAAAAGTGCCAGGCACCCTGCACACCGAGTGCTGTGAAAACATCTGAGCCCAGGAAACATTACCCACAATGACATTTAAATAGAACTCCGACAGAATCCTAGAATGTCAGTGCCAATGCATAGTAGGCAACAGATGGGTAAAGCCTGAATAGCTGTGGAAGGGAAGTCAAGGGACTTGATAAACACCTGGGAGTCAACTGGATATCAGCAGGACCCAAAGAATCAATGCTGGGCTGACCCGCTCTCCCACCTGGAGAGAAGAGCAATGATTCTCTCAGAGTGCAGTCTCCTCTAGCTTAGATCCGTGCATTTATGCAATGAGGAAGGAAGTGAGACTGAGGGCAGAAGAAGAGAGTAGCCTCTCCTGGGTGCAGAGTCTGGGCACGCTTCGCATGAAGAGAATACAGAAATGTTGAGAAGGAAAGTGCCTGTGAGCAAAAGAGCCACACTTCTTACCTCACTTCATGTCTCCCAGGAGAAAACTTTCTTAGCATAAGAACCCAGGTCCAAACCCAACCTGCCAGGTTCTGCCTACTTTGGGGTGTGCTGCCTTTATTCACTGAACCCCTTCTGATGGCCCCTCCTTTCCTCTCTGAACACACCAACCCTTCTCCAGCCTCTGGGCCCCTCTGCCTCAGCTTGGAGCCATGTCCCTGAGCTCTTCTCAGTCTGGTTTATTCTGACCCCTTTTTTGGGGTCACTTCACACATTTTACATCACTATCTGTCTATACGATCACCCTATCTCCAGCCTTCCAAGCCACTCTCTTAACTCCCAGGTATCTGTGTGTTTACCTGATGCCACTTTCGTACCATCTCACTGACACTCCATACACACAGACACACACAGACACACACACACATTCCTCTCCAAGTGTGATTTCTATGGGGACCCAGGGGCACCCTGTGCCCAACAGGAAACATCCAGAGAGAACCACACACCTGGGCTGAATCAGCACACACATAACTGAATTCCAGGGAGAAGACCCCGTGTCTCCCTCACCAGTCTTCCCTGAACCTGGCCAGGCTTACAGACTGACCCTCGGTTACAGACACTTGTCCTCTTGGGAACCTCACTTGGGTTCTGAACAGCCCCAGGCAGCAGTAAGCAGGGGCCAACCTGCTAGCAAGGGCTCTGCCCTGGGCACAACACATCTTCCTCTTTAGGACTCTTTGTCCCGTCTCCTAGGGAAGCTCCTCCAAGAAAAGTCATTTTAACCCACTTCCAAGCTGCACCTATGGGTATGAGTCACCTCCAAGTACCCTATCTCTTCGCAGTAGACACTCAGTTTTTCAACCCCGTGAGACTATGGGGTTCCTCTCTGCTGACTGACATTTGTCTCAAGAGGTCTCACTTTTCCTTGCCTGGGGTAAAAATCTATATAATGTCTCCACTGATTGTTGTAACTCAAAGGGACCTTGACTCTGGACTTCATTGAGGGACTAAGGCTTCTTGGCTCCCAAAAATATTGCCACTGGTATAGACATGGAGAGTATCATGCTATGTGAAATGAGTCAGAAAGAGAGGGACAGATACAGAAGGACTGCACTCATTTGTGGAGTATAAAATAACACGAGACTGACATCCAAGGACAGTAGATATAAGGATCAGGAAGATTGCTCCATTGTTGGAAGCCTGCCTCACGAGTGGGAGGGGAGAGGACAGCTGAAATAGAGAAGGGATCATAAAGAAAATAATGGTTGGAGGAATCAGTCAAGATGGGAGATGTGTGCCGAAAGTAGATAAAGGAGCAAACAAGATAACCTCTCAGTATTTGCATTGCAAACCATAATGCCCCAAAGTAGAGAGAGAGTATGGGGAATTTTGTCTGCCATGGAGGCAGTGTGAAGGTGGGGGTATACTGGGGATATTGGTGGTGGGGATTGTGCACTGGTGGAGGGATGGGTGTTTGGTCATTGTGTGATTGTAACTCAAACATGAAAGCTTGTAACTGTATCTCAGGGTGAATCAATAAAATTAAAAATAAAAAAAGATGTGTAGAGATAAAATATACCCTTTAACACTATGTTAATTCATTTGTCCCATGTTGAAAACCTTGATTTCCTGTAACGTGTTAAAGTAAAATTATTTAATTGGCAAACCAACCAACCATTAAGTAATTGATGCTATAGTCATATTAAAATGCTTTAAATTAAAGAAAAAGAACATTGCCACTGGAGGGTGGGTTTAGAGCAGGGCAGGAATATTCTCTATTCTGGTGGAGCAGACAACACTTGGCACAGAGAGTCACTGAGCCTGGTCCATACTGTGGGAATTGACACACACTCCCGGACCAGAGCCAGAATGCTGCCTGCGCCTGCCTAACCAATTGCCTTCCTGCATTGTACCTGACCATTACAGGGTACAAGAAAGACCCAATCTCCCACCCTTCTCCTCCCTGACTTTTCTCCCAGTTCTGTTTCCAGCAGCTGCAGTTCCAGAGAAATCTTCAAAATACTAAGACTAGACTTGGCACCCACAAGCATCGATCAAAGTGACAGACTTTCTAAGGAGGTGGAGGGGTAGGTGCATTATATACATGGGTGCTACTGTGCATCCCCTCTCTTCCAACACCTGTATCTGTTCATTCTCTATCCAACTTCCCATGCCTGCAATACATATTCCTGTAATAGATGGCTCTGTGCTACAAACACTACCAATCGTATACCAGGGAATATACCATTACCCGGAGAAATTTGCAGTAGTGGACAACTTCACTCAGGAAGAATGTAGCACTTTCCTCCCGTTGTTCATCGATTTGCTTGAGTGGGCCCAGTAACATCTCCATTGTGAGACTTGTTATTGTGTTTGGCATATCAAATACGTCACGGGTAGCTTGCTAGGCTTTGCTGTGTGGGCAAGATATTCTCGCTAGCTTGCCAGGCTCTCTAAGAGGGGTGGAGGAATCAAACCCGGGTTGGCCGTGTTGGCCGTGTGCAAGGCAAACACCCTACTGGCTGTGCTATTGCTCCAGCCCTCAGGGAGAATAACTGGAAATAAATACTTTTCTTCTAAACAAACTTAAGTTCATTCTTTTTTCTTTTTTTTTAAGTATTTTTTTTCTTTTTGGGTCACATCCAGTAATGCACAGGGATTACTCCTGGTTCATGCACTCAGGAATTACCCCTGGCAGTGCTCAGGGGACCATATGGGATGCTGGGAATTGGACCCGGGTTGGCCATGTGCAAGGCAAATGCCCTACCCTCTGTGCTATCACTCCAATCCCCCCCCACTTTTTTAAATATTATTTAGTAACTGTGGATTAAAAAGTGATTTGGTCTCAGGCATATACTGTTTCAGGCATACACCAATCGCTTCATCAGTGCCTACTTCCCTCCACCAATACCTGCCCTGTTTCCCTCCCACTCACCAGCCTGCCTCCACAGCAGGCACTTTTTAAATAACTTTTGGTGCTGTGGTTCATTTGTCTTCTGTGATTCCTTGCACAGGCCTGAAGGAGAGTCCTTGGTTCTCATTTATTTCTGACCTGGGCTAATGGGAACTGAGGTTGATTCTAACCTAAATTGGCCTGTGATTGTAGAATAGGGTGGTAAGTGAGAGCACACATTGTAGAAACATCTGCTTTGAAACACGAGAGATTTTGTGTTTGTTTTTAACATATATGCCTGCACACTGCAAGTAGGAGTATGTATTGCTATCACTACAAATGTTTGCAGGGCACTTTGGCAACATAGATTAAATCTAAATATGAAACTCTTTGATGGGACAGTTTTGCTTGAGAAATGTGTTCTCTACAAATACTATGAAATCATGAAAATAAGAAAGAGAGATGCTGTTGCTGCTGCTTAAAAACTTTTTCAGGAGAAGGCAAGATGTAGCACAATGTGTCAAATGCAGTATCACCTGGGTAGCAATTTTTTTTTAACTTTTGTTTATTTTTTATAATGTAGGAGCACTGCTTCAGGTAGCAATTTTTAAAAGATTATGCATGCATGCAACCCAAGGGTTTGCATTTAATTCATTTAATTCACTGCATTATACCTCATATTCTCCTTAAAAAGTGTTATATAGAGACACAGAAATAAATACAAATGTACTTTTTTAAACATGAGTAGCTATGGGGAAGGGAGACAAGAACATAATTTTTTTACTTTATGTGCATCAATACTGTTTACACTTTTCACATGTGTGACTCTTGTGCATTACTTTCACAATTTAATGAATACCCAATTCTGGAGTCTATCCTAGAGATTCTAAGTCTGCTGAGGGACAGATATTTAAATGTACCATGTGTAGTTGTGTTATCTGGCCAAGATGGAGAACTACTGGTTACTCTAAAGGGTTGTAGCAACAGTGACCAAAATGGATCCTTAGATGACAACAATATAAGAACCAAAAAGGTGGAAATAGACAAGAGAAATAAAAAGAGGATCTTGAAGTAAAACAATATTAATCCATTATGGTTTTTTTTTTTGGCTAATGTATCAAAACCTCATATGACTCTGATCCGCAAATCCTGCTCCAAGATTACTAAAAATTTTAATAAATACTAAGAACTGCTTCACAACTATTCATTGAAAGGATCTCTCAATTTATCACCTCAATGACTGGGGAGGACATGAAAGGTGAGGACATCAGAATTCTGGGTTACCTGCTGAAAACAGGCTTGGACAAGGTTCTCAGGGAAGAGGTTCCGAATAAGGTCCAAGAAGGCATCCAGGCTGGACACTTCATCATTCTTCTTTCCAGGCCCCAGCTGCTTCTTGAGCTTGGGATTGCCTGGGTGGATGGCCAGGACCAGGATTACTCCTAGCACAGCAGCGATAATGGTGGTGGACATATAGTATATCATGGCTCTTGTGCCCAAGCGCCCACTGGCTTTTGCGTCCAGGCCCGCCAACCCTGGATCAAGAAGAAATCCAGAAGGATTAATTTGTCAATGTTTTTATTAACATTGCATACCTGTAACTTGGTTTTTCATTACTCCAATGCATGAATGGTTCTTTAAGCCTCTTTTTCTCCTTGGACAATCCCATAGTTTTTAATTTTACTTTCCAAGATGGAACCAGCATATGCTAATATTTCACTTGTTTATTTATTTAAATGTCCTCACTTGGGATAACAAAAGGCTTGTAGCCTGATACCATGCCTTGTTGGTAGAGTCTGGAGTTGTAACCCAGTACAGCCTTCTCACGTCTTCACAGTGAAGCCCCAAGACCGACATTTCCTGACCTGGTGTCAGAATAAGCCTACACACATGAACTGCACCCTACTAAAGTGGGTACTTCGTGTATACTGTCAGAGCTGAGATGGTTTGAAGAAATTCCAAACAAGTCACAAAAACTCCAACCTTCACTGTTCCTCCTTTGATTAGTGGTTTTCTCTAGTTTTTTGACTTCTTAGTTTCTGTTCCTGCTCTCTCTAAACCCTTCTTGGGAGGTCAGTCTGTTTGGTTGTGGGAGAGGAAGGCATTGGTGCAAACTTTTAAAAAATTAAACTGTCCCTGTTATGACCCAGTTCTTACAAGCACAAGTCTGATGTTAGCCGTTGGAGGCTAGGCTTCCTAGCCAGAATGCATAATTGACTAAACAGGTGTGGGGACCAATCCCTCTGGTCTGAAAAGGAATGTTTATAGTCAAAGCCCAGCTTTGCTCAGCATGGGGCAGGACGCTCACATCTTCCTGACCCTTCTTCACATCACATCTAAGCTGGGTTCTGTGATCCACAAGCCATTAGACTCTAGAACAAGATGGCTTAGCCTCCATGTTTCCAGAACTTCACTTTCTTTATACAATGGACAGTCCATAGGGTAATCTTCAAGTTCACCCAGTTTGTTGGCACCCAATCTGAACTAAAGCCATCAACTTCTAGACAGAAAGCAATTTGAAAATGAGAAAGGTATATTAAATATTTAAATTACTAAAAATATCATTACTCTTAAAACGTGTTCAAAGTGTTCCTTCTTTTCTTCTGTTGCTAGACAAATGGACTGACCTATGACAGGTGTTCTTATAAGGTTGATTATCTCTATTTCAGAAAGAAGAAAACCAAGGCTCTAAAGCTTAATGACACATGCCATCACCTTTATTCATTAAACCAAACTGAGTTTCTATGGTTCCTCTAAAAATCATAGCAGGAGGATGACCACTTTAAGTCAGGCACCAGAAGAAGACCCTTACCTGTGATTAAACTGGAGATGATTAGAGGGAGAATGAGCATTTTTAGCATTCTCATGAGTATATCCCCTGGGAAAGCTATTAGCATGATCACATCAGGGTTGATAGGAGATGCCAAGCGAAGAAGCCCTCCACATACTGCCCCCAGGATGACACCTTCAAGGAGAGAAGAACAAAATTCAAATAAACTTTCGGTCTTAGTCACACTAATAGTTTAGAGATTACTCCAACAACAGTGACCTTTTTCATACTTCCCCTTTAAGAGAGGATAAATAACATGCTACAAAAGCACCACTCTTGGGGCTTAAGAGATGACACAAAGCACGGCATGCGTGCTTTATATATGGGAGCCTGGGGGTTGATCCCTGTGCATGTTCCCCCAGGAATCACAAAAAGTGACCCCTGAAGCACTGATATGGGTTCAACACCAGAGCACTGTGCCAGGAGTAGCACGTGTGCATTGCTGAGTATGATTCCTCTCTCTCTTCCCCAAAAGAGACATAAAATACACCAAGTTGAACTTTATGACTAAAGGAGAGTGGTTTGTTGCTCCAGCAACTATAAGAGGTGGCCTTGCACAAGCTAAGAACCTATGAGTTGGGTCAGATGTTTTCCATACAAATAACCCAAACTGACCATTATTGCTTCTCCCCCAAACCTAATTCAGGCCGCATGGCAAGGGCTTTCATGAATTTCTTCCCTTCTTAAGTAAATAACATTTACTTAATAAAGGAACATTTTATGAACTGAGTTGGGGTGAATTTCCTTTTTCCTTCTATTTCTTTGGTCTCCAATAATTCCTCAAGGATCGCCCTCAAGTAGCTTTGACTCAACTTCTATGGCCTTTTCCATACTCTTTTGTACTTGATTCTATGGGAGAGGCAAGTAAGTCTTTTAAAAATAAACAACTTGTGAATTGTGTGTATGACATTAAAAAATATATAACTTGGGAGGGAATCATTTGGGCAAATCTAATTTACAACCTCAGAGGATCCACAGATAAACTTTTAAGCTCTCGAAACAGGCTACCGATACAGACCACCCTTGTGGCAACTACAAGCCAGGTCCTGGCACCACCATGATTGGTTAGTGAGGAGTCGCTGGGAGTCTGAACCACTGTGTTAACTCCAGGAGACAAAAGGAGTGGATAGATACCTAGGAGATGGAAAGTATTTATATGGAGGGGAAAACCCTGGAGAAGCCATCCTGTTGGATAACATAAGGCTGTCCTTGCTTCTCCCCCAGGGAGCTTAAGGTTTGTTGAGTCACTCCCACAACAGAGCAACCAAGGTACACACAATTCCATCAAGCACTAATAATCCTCTATTGCTTTTCTCTTTCCTTTATGACATTTTATGGTTTTTTTTTTTAACAATGTCCTTTTTGTATAGACACAGGAAGACAGTTGATGTGATGCTATGTAACATGGGAATTAATTGACTTGAAAATGATATTTACTCCTGGGCATCCATATTTACTTGACTTAAGCCTCAGTTGTCCTTAGTTCCTAGCACTCCAAGGGTAGGGTCCCAACGAGGGACTGGATGGACCCAGGACAAGCTGTGAGCTATCCTGGCATTGAAATGGGCCAGGCCAAGTGCTAATAACTATAAGTTAAGAGCATTGTCATGAACAAACTCTGTCATGATCCAACAAGAAGTAACTGAATAAGGGCCCTGCTGGGGTTAGGAAAGACTAACCTGGCCTAAGGACTGTGGTCTGGAATATATAGCAAGATGTCCCCCAGGAATAGTCAACCTTTAAGCTTAATATATCTCTTCCTGTGTCTATATAAAGAGAACATTGCTAAATAAACCATGCAAATGACTTAAAGGAAAGAGAAAAGTAATATAGGATTATTAATGCCTGATGGTATTGGGTGTGCCTCAACTGCACTGTAGTGGGAGTGGCTCAATAAACCTTAAGCTCCCTGGGTGAGAAGCAAGGACGATCTAATGTTATCCAACACCATCCCACCTATGGTGTCCTCTGAGAGTAAGCCGAACTGTAAAAAGCTCCAAGTCTTGACTTTGGCCCACTGACATCCAAAGTGACCAACTCAAAGAAGCCATGGCATGCAGGGGCTAGGACTTGGGGAGGTAGGATTACTGGGAGAGGTCCTGCTCTCTCCTGCCTTGTGGGTCACCTAAGTGAGAACCCAAGAACTAGCGAGAGTAACACTGACCTCCTTAGCTAATGTGCTCCCATTATCTGTGTGAATAAGGTTAGCCCTTGGGAGCCTTCTTATTGGGGTTTTCTGCAACCATTGCATTTATCTTGATGCAGGTAGTTTTCGAAATGAGTTATATTGGCCTTCTGCTTTGGAGTCACCTGAGAGGCTTGGAGAAGGAGGGAAGATTCCAGGGAACGTAAATCCAAGGCCCTGGAGAGTTGGACTTGGGAATAGGCAGAGCGATACCTTCTTGAGAGATACACATACTCGCTTGTGCAAATTTGAGAGCCAGTGGAATTCCACTGTCTAACTGTCTCAATCCAGTGGGGCCAGGAACTTTCTCATTGAGACAGCTGAGACCCAGCAGGAGCAGCTTCCTCTCTGGAGCTGGGGCCAGCAGCCAAGCTGAGAGCATCCAGGAAGGGGGGCACCTACCGAACACGGTCAGGCTCAGCAGGAGGTTCTTCCCCAACTTGTCACAGACGCGGAGCCCCAGGTTCCGCTGCTTGGGCTCCTCCGAGCTGAGATGGCTGTCATGCATCCGCACTTCCACCTGCTTGGGCATGTTGGCACTAAAATAGAATTAAAGACAGAGATGAGAGCCTGCTGGGTAATCAGAGGGGCCCAAAGAGGAGGCAGACAAAAGACTCGCCCAGAAAAAGTAGGGAGTGTGGAGCCATAGGCAAAGAAGATGAAAATCCAGAACAGCTTAAGGATTCCTGCAGTCAGTTCACCTGTGTGGAAGCAGGACGCAGGGACACACGGGCATCCCCTAAGCCAGGTGCCTTTGTCCTTCGTACGTTTGACCCACTAGGCTAAGAAAAGGCTTACTTGCATCTTTCTGGGCCAGGAGCTTGCCCAAAGGGATGAAGACCACGCCTTGCACGAGTGAGGCTCTGAATTTTTGTTCCTGCTGTTCAGGGTTTTGTTTCTTCGCATATTTATTTACTGATTGATCTCTAAAGTGCTGTCTAAGAGGCCCAGAAGCCTCAGCCTGCAGTTCTCAGACAGCCAGGTAGGTGGGTCAGTGCTAGGATCCGAGGATGCTGTGCAGAACCAGGGATTATCTATGCCACCCCAGCAGTGTGTGGAGGCCTCCAGTTATATTCATGGATGCTCGGGAACCATGCAATGCCAGAGATGGAACTGCTCCTGAATTTCATGCCTGGTACATGAGGCCCTCCGCTGCAGACACCACTGGGGTGGCCTTGGCCACCCCCAGCATCACCAGTATAAGCAGCACGGAGCTGCTAGACCTGCCTGAGCATTGTTAGGTGGCCACCAGGCTTGCTCCAGTTTCTAGCAGGAGCAGGGTCCCTAGCGCTACACAGTCCCCCTGGGCACTGCCTGTGTGGCCCTGGTGATTTGGGGGATGGGGGTGGGGTGGGCTGGTGGTTTGGGTTCCTTGAACACCACTGGGCAGGGCCCACTCATGAAAAATAAATAATTTAAAAAGAAAAGGCACAATGGCAAGGTTTTCTCAAGAGTTTGCCAATATGCTAACTCTCAAATCTTGGAGGCAAGTTTTCCCACACCATTTTTTTTTGGGGGGGGGCGTTGATTTTGTTGGGGGCTGGTAGTAGGGCTTACTACAAGCTCTGTTCTCAAGGATCACTACTGGTGGGACTTGGGGAATCAGATGGGGTATTGGGGATCAAACCTGAGGCCACATGGAAGAGAAGTGCCCTACCTACTGTACCCTCACTCCAGCTCTTTCCACCCCATTTTTATAGTAACTGCAGAATGTTACAAAGCTCAAAAAAAAGGGGGGGACAGAAGAGATGTGAAACAGCACCCCCAAAACATACACAGTTAAACAAACTAATGTTGCCTCAATAAGTAAAATAAATAGATTTAATGAAGAGACAGGGACCTTCCAGCTGAGACATCCCTGGCACTAAACCTAAGACCCTTCCTTCTTGTAACAACGAGAAAGGTGACTCTTTCCAGAACCTAAGAACCAGGCAAGTCAAAGTGGCATCAGATTCAGAAAAACAGCCTGAGTTGAAGCCTTCCCCATCCTGGGCAGACAAAGGTCAGACTTGCTGCAAGTCCAAGTGTCAGTCTCCCCCGAGGAAGACAAAGGTTTATTTAGTCATTGTGTTTTCCAATTCTAGCCACTCTAGTTTTCCCAAGGCTACACTTTATTATTGAGATCCTGGTGAGCTATTCATGTGAGAGACATGAGAGTTAGGGCACAGCTGCTAACTTCATCCACAGGGGCAGCCCCTTTCCAGATAAACCTGGGGAATCCAAGCCGACCACAAGATCCCTGGTGCAGTTCCAGATGTGTACTGCTATCACCCCCCACCCTCCCCATCTCCGGTGACTCAGCAGTCCTGCCCATAAGCCACCCCTGGCTGGGGCAAGATAATCATCTCATCATTGGGCTCCATCCAGATTGCATGCCCTTCTCTCCCGGAAGGGAGCATAACATCACACTTGCCATAACCATGCGACCTGTGCCCACGCCAAGCTGCTTCACTCGGGGTGTCCCAGATGGGGGCCGGTGAGAGCCCTCCCCGCCCCAAGGGACCCAGCCCTGGCAGCCAAAAATCCCCAAAACCCAACTGCCGTCACACTTGCGGCTGCTCTCCACACGCTTGAGCTGAACCTCACCCATGAGTTAACCTATTCCTAGACACTACATACCACACACACCATACCCATCTCCAAGAGTACTGACCCATGTTTGATAGGGTTCAAAGTAGGAGGCAACCTATCTAGAGGGAATATTTTTTTCATATATATATGTATATATATATATATATATATATATATACGTGTGTGTGTGTGTGTGTGTGTGTGTGTGTAATAGCACAGCAGTAGGGCGTTTGCCTTGCACGCAGCCAACATGGCCGACCCGAGTTCGATTCCTCCGCCCTTCTCGGAGAGCCCAGCAAGCTACCGAGAGTATCTTGCGCCCGCATGGCAAAGCTTGGCAAGCTACCCATGAGGTATTCAATATACCAAACACAGTAACAATAAGTCTCAAAGTGGAGACGTTACTGGGCCCGCTTGAGTAAATCGATGAACAACAGGAGGACAGTGATATATATGTATGTATGTATATATATATGCACAGAAGTCTCAATTTCTAACAACATTTTTTCATAACAAAAACAATATAAAGTATATTATTTCAGTTCTGCTTTGGGGCAGGGTTTGGGGTTTGGGATGGAAACACCCAAAATATAGTGGTGGGAGGGTGTAATGGTGGTGGGATTGGTTTTTGAATATTAAATGTAATGAAATGTTGTGAACTGTATCACTGTCATCCTGTTGTTCATGGATTTACTTGAGCAGGCACCAGAAACGTCTCCATTCGTCCCAGCCCTGAGATTTTAGCAGCCGCTTCTTACTCATCTTTCCCAACACTGTTGTACTGGAGGCTCTTCCAGTAACAATGCCAAAACAAGTAACAATAATGGTCTCATTCCCCTGACCCTGAAAGAGCCTCCAATCGTGAACTACTTTATAAAATAAAAAAATTATTAAAAAAATAAAAAGGTGTATTCTGCATCTTTTCTGGGCCACTAAGATTTCAGACTTAAACACAGGGACTGACATCTGGAGGCTTTTTGTTTTTAAAACACAATGTTAGTGCCTACCCACAATCACCACCACATCACAGGGTTAAAGAAAAAACTCATTAACACCTAGAAAGATAGGCTACAGTCTCTGAATAAATAACCGTAACTTCCATGATAAGGTGTTAGCTTTACCTAGATATCCTCATGGGATACATGCAGATGAGTGGTTTGGAATCACTGGTTAAAGCAAATAGCTCGTATCTAAGAATCAGACAAATTGAGCTTTAATTCCTGAATCCCTCACTTAGTAGCTCTATGATATATAGAAAAAAGACTGCCGAAGAGAAATGAACATTGGTAACATATGTTAGCTAATTTTGACATGAAGTAGGTAGGCGTAAGTTAGACACCCTCATCATCATGCCCCAATTCCATTTTCCTCAGGGCACCTCCCCATTGGGCTAGAATTCCAATAAGAGAGTAGCCATGCTTACCTTCCAATCTCAAAATCAGAGTTAGAGACCCAAGTCTAACTACCCTTTTAGAATAGGCAGCTCAATAGGCTTGTTACCAAAATATTTTAAAATGGGAAATAATGTTGCATGATCTAGTAAAATATCCAGATGAAAAATCAGTCAAATACATGAGCTTCTTAGTCTCCTCTTAGTGACTTATTTCTCTTAGCTTACTCCTATAGCTAGTTTAGGGCAACCTCTGATTTCTAACTCTATGTGTAGTTAGTGATCACTAAGTCTGAAAAACAACACATGGCAGTCCCATCATGGTAGCCAGGAGTCTTTCTGTCTTTCTGATCAGGAAAGAACAGGTCCCTGTTCCTCCCATCACCAAGTAAAACAGACAAAAATAGTTATTTTTACAACCCCAGAGGGGGTAATGAGCAAAACAATCTGTTTAACATGCATAGATCATATTTCTGTGTTTGCACTGGGATCTTTTTGTATTTTGAAACATCTCTCTAGGCAGTAATATGATGCTTGACACCAGGAAATGGCCCCAAAAGAATGGGAGTAGTATATGTTCTAAAATGGTGAACATATTCCATTAGTCAGCTCTTGGCATATACTCCACTCCCCTGGAAATCTTGCCTTCTGCTTCATTTGAATCTATCCTGCCATTGAAATTAGCACCAGGCACATGGTTGGCATTTAAGTGAGACTAAAAGTATTTAAAGCAAAAAGCTCTGGCCAGATTCATGAGATGTAATCAGAGTGTCAGGCATCAAACAGCCATGTCAAAGTAAAAACACACAAACATTAGGTTAATGTACACATACGGTCAAAGCAATGTGGGTAGTTGCCTGTTGCCACACTTCTTAGTTGCACAAAATGGTTGCATGCTTAATGATCTGTTTTTTAACTTATAACATGATGTCTCTGAAGCTCTGATTCAAAACATCCGTATCAAAGTGGCAGCATCAACATGTCATGAGCCACAAATACTTCTTGAGGGAGAGAGGGGGGGAAAGGAGAGAGGGGAAGAAGAGATTTCCTACTTTTCCCTCTTAGAATTGTATAAATATTCCAGGCTTATAGCAGTTCCTGCATCCTGCACATACACAGTAAAACCCATCTGTAAAGCAATGCTGGGCCTCCTGTTTTCATCTGGGTTACTTGAAATTCGCTAAGAATTCTTTGTCAAGATTCTATATTCTATATTCTAAGACAATCACCTCAGCATCACTAAAAAACAAGCAATTGAAGCCATGATTATTACAGAATATAGCACCATACAATATTTTTTTTGTTTTTATTTTTCCCTTTATTTTATTTTATTTTTTTTAAAGTTGTAGATTTACAATTTTTTGTGCTTTGGTTTCAATTATACAATGATCATATACCCATCCCTCCACCAGTGCCCATTTTCCACCACCATAGATAATATCCCTCCCACCCCCATCCCCCCATCCCCCCCGTCTCTGTGGCAGGGCAATCCCCTGTGTTCTCTCTCTCCTTTTGGGTGTTGTGGTCTGCAAAAGAGGCATTGAGTGGCAAACATGTTCAGTCCATAGTCTACTTTCG